ACCATAGCCTGGCGGGGAATGCCACGCGAGATACCCTTCCCTTTGCACGCCATCTGCACTACTTTCATATAACAGTTGCGAGATACGCACTGAGATCTGCTGACTTCCCCTATCCCCATCGGGGTAGGGAACTTCATCTTCAGATGGTATATCGGAGTGATTGCCTTGAAGCTTCTTAGCAGAGGTCGCCCCAAGATACCATTAAAAGCGGATGGGCAATCCACTACCAAGAATTCAGTTACCTTGGTCACTTCATCAAAGTCACACAGCGTGACTGGAAGCAAGATCATTCCTTTGGAGATCAAGTGGTCCCTTGTAAAACTGTATAGAGGGAATGAGGCAGGTTTCAGGTCAGCCTCATCTAGGTTCATTCTTTCGAAAGTTGTCTGCAACAAGATGTTCACAGCACTTCCGTTATCCACCAACATTTTGTAGGTGTTATGGCGCCCTATCAGGGGTGTGATTACAAGAGCGTCATCATGGGGATGATGTAGTCGGACTGCATCCTTTTCAGAGAAAGGAATTTCCTCCTCCCTGCGAACCTTCAATGGTTGCCGTGACGTGCTCATCACATTGATAGGGTCGTGATGAGCTGCGCGAGCATACCTTTCCTAGGCGCCTCGAGAGTTCCCCGCAAAGTGCAATCCTTTGAAGATCATATTGAGGGTGCATACCCCTTTGCGATCACGTCGCTTCTTTCCAGGTTCCCCTTGACTTTTCTCTTGCGTAGGAGTGGAGTCATCAATATATTCCTTGAAATGCCCCTGCTTGATGAGGTCTTCGATTGAGACACTCATCGATGTGATGCCCATTATCCCGATGGTAACGATAGTACTTTTTACTGTTTCTAGCTGACGGGGGATTTTTCATGGGCTCAGGTTATTCGAGCAGGCTGGCTTCTTCTGATTTGTCAAGAATAGCGGATACAGACCCATTCAGAGGCGTATATTGATTTCTGTTGTGATCGCGATGAGGAACAGGAGCATAAGACTTTTTGGGCTCGTAGTGCGGTTTCTTTCCTTTTCTTGATCGTCAATAGCCCATCTGTGATCAACTCTCTTGTCCTCCTGACTAGACGCACTAACCGACGCGCTGTGGTCGCAGTGGCAAAGTGTCGGCACTGAACTTTTAGTACGGAGGTACTTCTCCGCAAGGTTATAGAAAGGGGTGAGGGAAACATCATCCTCAGCCTGTAGCTCTTTCCACAGGTCGGTCTATGGGTGAACTCCCACTATGATGAGAGTCCGAATAGACTCCTCGGGAGTGTGAGCTACCTTGTTAAGCTTGTTAGACCAGTCGTCACGGTCACAAAATTAAACCTAAATACCGTAGTTAGCAGTAAGCAGGATCGAATCCACAGGGAGCAAGACTAACAACCTAATATATTTTAAGTAGAGGAAATGAAATTGGCAATTGATTAAAGAAACTAAATAGACTAAATGCAAATAATGAAATAGTGCAATTAAAACTAATAAAGACTATAATAAAAATGTTGCCGTTACGGTTTTGGTTCGACACGAGACCGATTCACACAATTCTTCTCCACCCTCTACGATCCCCTAAACCTACAAGGCAAGGTAAATCAATGAAATGGCCTCCCTGCACTCTAGGTATAATCTATCCTGTCTCACCCGATCACTCAAGTTCTATTGGTTAAAGACTATCATTAAACGCCGAAAAACACTACAAGGCAATACCACTAGTTGGTACGCGATTAACAAATAGAATTTGTCAACACGTAAAATCCAATCAACCAACTTCACAATAAACGCAATAATAGTAGAAATTAAATTAAATCCGAACACAACTCAATTACAATCGATGCGAAGTAATGAAAAGCAATATTCATCATTTAATTATTTCAAACCAACGTTTATCATTCAGCAAGTTCTATGAAAACATTAAATCATAATGGACAACAATATTCATCACAAGTTATGCTCAAATCATATTAAAGTATCAAAATCAAACATGAAACGAAAACAAATATAATCTGAAGCACAATCTACCAAATGTCCTATAATCAGGCTCATCCAACTAGTTGAGAGTTGATGAGGAGAGTCGTGGAGTCAATCCCGATCTCGCCTATGCCGTAATAGACAACCGGGAACTTAGCCGCTCATGGTGGTGATGACGGAGGCCGAAACAGTGGAAACGAAGTTGACCATGGCAGAGAGGAGGTAACCGACAGCGATATGATGCAAAGAAGGGGCAAAAATGACCAACGGATAGCACAGAATACGAACAGCCGCACTTCACTAGAACACGTTAATTTTCCGACAGGTCTTCCAGAAAACGGTGGCAGAAATGGGATCCGAACGTACCGATGGAAAGCTCTGGTGATGGGGAGTTTAGATCAGGTCCTAGGGAGGTGAGAAGTCACCGGAAATTAGCAGGATCTGGGCTAGAAGATGAAGAGGCGCGGTGGCAAAATCGCGGATTCCAGCGGTTTTCGCGGTGGCTGAAGCTAGGAAAGTGTAGATCCGGCTGTGGGGAAGGGAGATCGACCCTTGGGGAGCTTAAACGTCACCGAAAAATAGCCAAATCTAGCCGGGAAGATGAAACATCACAGTGGTTGGAAGACAAAACATCGCGGCAGCCCTTGGTTCGCGGTGGTGGCTTGCGGTGGAGGCTCGCCAACGGAAGGTGAAGGGTCGCTGGCCTGGAAGATGAAACGTCGTCGGTCGACGACCAAATTTCGGTGGAAGGCTAGGGTTTTTGGGTTTGGGTTTGCGCCCTCTTTTCACGATGGTCACCTGGAAATTTATACCCATTATGGCAAATATCCATTTGGTCCCTGCATATTAAAATATGACAAAATTAGCCCCTTAAAACATGACATTTTACCCCCTAAACAGCATAAATGAGACAAAATCACCCTTAATCCATACACCACAACCTAATATCAACTCATATACTTTCCAAAATCATTTCAAACACGTTAAATTCATAAGAAAAATATTAGGAAGCGATTTTCGTGAATAAATTCATAAATTCTTTAATTGTCTCAATATACTTCAATTTAATCACACATGGGGTATTTTTATCACCAAAATAGAGCCACTTTCATGACTCTAACAAAGCTCTTTGTGGAATCGATCAATGTACGATTGGAGGGATTCATCCCTTTTTTGCCTTATATTGCTAAGGTAGCTCAAAGGCATTGAGAACTTTCGATTTGCTTGGAAATGCCTCAGGAATGTCGCACTCATTTGGGGCCACGAGCTGATCGATCCCACTGGGAGCGACATGAACCATCGTTTGGCGTGAGAGGCCAGAGTTACTGCCAAACAACGGCACTTCGCTAGATCTGAGACTTGGTGAAGCTCCATCAGGTCGTGGAATTCATATAAATGATCCTGCGGATCAAAATTTCCATCGAACACCCGCATGTTGGGCGTTCTAAATCTTGATGGGAGTGGGGCGGCTAACACTGCCGGAGAAAAAGGGGACGCGGATGCGATCTGCCCCTACTCTTTTTGCTGAGCTCTTAGTTGGTCTAGAGTTCACTATAACTCCTCAATCTGAGGCAATGGAGCTATATGGGGATTGCTTTCCCATGCGAGTCTGACCTTTGTAGTTGCGGTTGAGAAAAGTCCAAAGGTAGGATTCCGTTTCGCCTCGGCCAGCAACTCCAGCCACCCTCGACACATGCTGGCTAGAGACGTGTGATGGCGATGAATGGTGCGGGGAACTGTCATGACCTTCACGGTGGTACGAACCACCCCGTGAAGTGTGGGAACCTCCCGCACGATGACGATTAAGGTCGTTTTGCGGGCGGTGATAAGAATAGCCCTGTCTAGCACTTTTATGGGGGTGTGCATGCGACGTGGCATGGGACAGCTCGACTTGTGACTTTTCACCGAGTCTCAACGCCATGGGTATTCTACTCGGGGCGTGGTCAGTGTTCACTAGCCCTTTGGAGCCCTTAGGCCCATTCTTCCCCACTTGCTTGCCCTTTCTCCAACGCGCTGCAGTGCCTGCGGCATGGGCTATCTCCCTTTGCTGCGCTTTCACATGACCTATAGGCATTTTTGGCAGTTGCATCGCCCCAGCTGATTTGGTTGGCATGCTTTGGTCCAAACAGTCTAACCTTTGGTTGACCGTCTAGAGAGTGTTGTCAAACCTCTCCAGGTAGCTTCTAATGGTAGGGTCAAGTTGTGAACTTGATGGGATATCCCCCACGGCATTTTTCAGAACAAAAGGTATTTTGGAAGAGGTGTCCCCCTGGACTTGGGGAATCCCCTCAACACCGTGGTTGGTTCGCTTAAGTTCAGGTTGGTGGGCCATTTGCTGTTATAGGACCAGTAAGTTAGAGATTCTCCTGATGAAGGATGAACACTAAATTAGGCCCTCCTTCTAGTGCCAAACTGTTGATGCGTGATTTTGACACCAACGAAACACACATGTGAAATATTGAGCTGGCTCAGAAGGCACACGTGAATGTAAGAGAAAATGATAGTAAATGCAATGGGAACAGCTTTTAAAGTGGTTCGGATGCTAAGGAAGCAAGTCCTACGTCCGCTGATATTTGTATTAATGATAGAGGTCAAGTCGCGTTAGCAAACTAACCTACAAATGATAGTACAAGAGAGAGAATGATATATATTCTTGAGAGAGAATAGGTAATCAAAAGTAGAATAATCGAATCCCCCAAATGAGAGAGGAGCCCTCAATTTATAATGGGACGGATTAAGGTTATCATTACTGAATCTGTGAGTTTGTGGGATTATCCATACAAATCTTTCTTTACATCCCATTGCCCACCATCCAGAGTGATTTACGCGATTTGGCACAGGAATTTGGACATGTGGAAGCTTTCCAGCTCCTGGCTAGTCTGGCATGCACCCACTGCACTGACAGGAGTATGCTGCTCCTTTCCTCACGTGACTCAGCTGCGGGTATACCCATGCTCTTACTTTTGCATGTTGACTGGACCTTACGTCAGCCCTGCATTCTTTAGGCATAACAAAGTGTTTGATTGTAAATTAATTAAGCAGATGTGTTTGAAAAATTCAAAGATGAAAAAGGAAAATTCAAGACATCCTTAATTAATGATATTTCGGGCATGCTAAATCTGTATGAATTTGCACATCTTGGCATACGAGGTGAGAATGTCCTCGATGAAGCTATAGCTTTCACTAAAGCTCACCTTGAGCCAATTGTTACTCAAGTAAGTCCTGAGTGTTGGACAAATGTCAAAGTGCAAAGTCATTGAAGGAAACGCTGCCATTTTAGCTCAACTAATAAACATTCAAAACACTGTCGTTTAGAGTACTAAAGTCTACTGAAATTGTATATGTAACACAGTAGCTCATTTTTCTTTGTTATTAACGAAAAAGTGAAGTAAGAAGGAATGTAAGTTTTCCTCTGTTCTTACTCTCTATTTACAGTTCTCTGTTCTTTAGTTGTAATCTCACATGGTATTAGAGTTGTGACTTGCGTCAGTGGAGAATTTTAGAAAATCTTCTGGTGTGCTCAACGACTCAAATGAGATATTGAAGCAACAAGCAAATCAAGCTACTCCAGCTCTTGCTACTAGCCTTCAGGTCATAAATCCGAAGCTAACTCAAAGTAATTATCATTTTTGGAGCTCTCAGGTGTTGTCCACAGTTGGCTCTCACGAGCTTGAAGATCATCTACTTGGTAGGGTTTCTTGTCCCTCACCTCTTATAATTTTTTATTCAGCAATTGATCATGATTTAGGTCAAACTAGTGGAGAAGTTAGGGTAAGTAGTGTTTCAATTAATGAGTAAGTGAATCTTACTTATATAATGTGGAAAAGAACTGATAAGTTCTTAGTTAGTTGGTTATTGGCATCGATTTCAGAAAGCATGTTTAGGTATGTGTCAAACTATAGAAGCTCCACTGAGATATGGTTTGCGTTAGAACATGAGTTCATTATTGATTCAAAACCTAGAGTGTTACATCTCAAGAATTTACTTCAGACAACACAAAAAGGAAATTTAAATGCAGAAGATTATGTCAAAAAGATGAAGGAAATTTCAGAGAGTATGTCTACTAGTGGACTGATAATCACTTATGAGGATTTACTGCAGTACATCTTAGATGGACTTGGTCCTGAGTTTGATGCTGTTGTAGTGAACTTAACCTCAAGAATTGAGTCAAAATTTGATTTTGTTACATTGCAAGAAGCTAGATTTTTACTGCAAAAATATGAACTTAGGCTTGAAAAGTTCAATGTTGTTGATCTATGCAATTGTTCAGCTCACGTAGCTTCTACTGGCAACTCTATTGGTGATTCAAATAGTTCAAACAATGTGCCAAACATTCCCTCCAAACCAGACCTAGTTAGCCAACAATCTGACAAAATGACAGGACCATGTTATATAGTAGCTCCCACTCTGATGTCTCTTGGCAATCCTCATTATCCTCCATATCCCATAATACATAGCTCTCAAACTATCCCTCAAACCTACAATCAGCCTTTGTATAACAACAGACCACCTTATTTTGGGGGAGTATCATATGGTAGAGGAAAAGGACACAGTGCTGGAAAAGGAAAACTAATTTGTCAATTATGCAGTAAAGCAAGGCATTCAACTGGGCAATGTTATCATAAGTATAACTTTGCTTTTACTAGAATGCCTTAGAATCCCATTAGCTACCCATCACAACCATTTAGTCCATATCATGAACGATTATCATCTCAGCCACATATCAATCAGCATTCATACAACCATCATCAATACAACAATGGTGGCAATCATTATCCATCCAGCACTCCTCAGTTTAATGGTCCTGCAGGAGATTCTTATTATCCATTAGCTTATCCACAACTAGCTTATAATACTCAAGTTGGTACTCAACATGGGAACTTCAAAAATGGCACAAATCATTCTGACAATGTGGCTGCTACTGCTTATAATTTTCCTAGTCAACATATAACTGGTCAGAATCAAGCACATTTTTTTGGCTATGAGGTCTAATTTTCACTCAGCACAACCTTTTCAATCTTCTTTAGTGCGGTCCTCTTCACAAGCACAACAGCAATTTGCAATGGCTACGTCTCTTACACCCACTAATCTAATGTGGTATATGGATTCAGGGCAACTGACCATGTAACTTCAGACCTCAATCATCTCAATGTCAGCAAAAACTATAGTGGAGTGGATCAACTTCAGGTTGGAAATGGTGAGTACCTCAATATTTCTCATACTAGTCATTCTTTTTTGCCTAGTACTTTTCATTCTAAATCTTTGCATCTAAAGAACATTCTTTGTGTCCCTAAGATTATAAAAAACCTATGAAGCATCTCTAAATTTACTAAAGATAACAACGTCCTTGTTGAATTTGATGCTCACTGTTGTGTTGTCAAGGACAAATTCACAAGGGCAATACTACTGCAAGGGGATCTTATAATGAGCATGTACTAGCTGAATTTCTCTTCCAACAAACCTTCCACTCATGTTTCTTCCCCAAATAATTTTTCTTCCTATATAGCCTCTATTAGCTCTATTCAGCCACTTGTTTCTCAACTGTCAAATACTTGTAATGACATTAGGTATTCAATCCAGTTAAATGAAGGTCAGTCCAATAATACTAGTCAGTTCTATGATAAAGGTCAGTCATCTTTAGGTCAGATTTTTTCTGATTTCAGTGACAATATTGATCAGGTCTCTCATATTTTAAATAATAGCAATTGTACATCTTCGGTTACTGAAAATTGTAAGTGTACTACTTGCTTGAAAAATAATGAAATTTCTGATTCTGACAATAGTTCTGTATCTAAAACAGTTTTTATATCTTATAATTTTGATCAGAAACACAATAATACTGGTGTTCATTGTTTAATTGCCAACACACAATCTGATGAATACATGCTTTGGCATAAACGGTTAGGTCATCCTCATTCACAAACTCAACATCAAATTTTAACTGATTTGCATTTAAAATTTCCATAAAAAATTAGGACCTTTGTCAGTTCTAGTGTTACCTACTATGATGCTTGCCAATTAGGTAAATTACATCAGTCTAGTTTTCTAGCATCCCAATCTCATGCCATAGCCCCATTAGAACTGATTCATAGTGATGTTTGAGGCCCTGCCCCTTGTACCTCAGTAGAAGGTTTTAAATACTATGTGCAATTTTTGGATGATTATAGTAGATTTACATGGTTGTTTCCTCTTAAGACCAAAACTGAAGCCAGATCAGTTTTTATCAAATTTCAGCATCTTACTGAAAGGCAATTTGGATGTAAACTAAAATCCCTATAGTCTAATCAAGGTGAGGAATACAAAGCCCTTTTACCATACTTAGTTGATCAAAGTATTCAGGTTAGACAGTCTTGTGCTTATGCTCACTAACAAAATAGTAGGAGTGAGAGGAAACATAGACACATTGTAGAGTCTGGTCTTACACTTTTAGCCCATGCATTTATGCCACTACAATACTGGTGGCTAGTATTTGAAACTGTTGTTTACTTAATAAATAGACTGCCTACTCCTGTCCTAAATAATGTATGTCCTTATAAAAGTTTTTTAATCAAACTCCTATCTATGAAGGCTTAAAAGTTTTTGGTTGTTCCTGTTTTCTTTACACTAGGCATTATAATAGGCACAAATTTGATTTCCATACCACAAAGTGTGTGTTTGTTGGTTACAGCTTAGTACACAAAGGTTATAAATGTCTAAAACCTGATGGAACAGTAATTACCATCCCTAATGTACAATTCAATGAATGTGAATTTCCTTTTTCAATCAATAATATGTTCTCTTTCCCACATACAAATTTAAACTCTTCATCTCAGACTAGTGTTGACACTTGTACAAGTCCACAAGTTTTACATTTTCCTTGTGGTTCTAATCCTAGTCATTATCACCCTTCAGCTCCCCTTGGTTCTCCTGCAGTAATTGACTTTACTGATCAGCCTTCTTTAGACAATGCAGCAGTAGGTAAGACTTCTCAATTCGTTGTGTCTTCTCCACACACTATACCAGCTTCTACAATACCAATTTCTTCCTTAAATACTCCTACTATATCTCATTTTGATCACGATCAAACGACAATAGATACTCTCCCTATTTTTCCTGCAAACCACAATCAAACCACAGTAGATACCCTTCCTATTATTCCTGCAGATTGCTTTTTCTCACCATGTCAACTTGTTGTTGATCTCACTTCATCACAAGTGGCTGCTGACTTAGATGACAGTCATCTTGGTGAGACCCTTTGTTCCAATACAGTATCATCATATCAAGTTGCTGCTGAACCAACTGATAAGTTAGTTTGTGAGAATATTCATCCAATGGTGCCCAGGTCTAAGTCAGCTGCCTAGTCCCATATGGTTTCTTGTAGTCAAACTGGTGATGATAATCATTTTGCACTTCACATTGGTGGGTCTGGCAGTACTGAAACTGCTGAAACAGAACCTGGTACAGTCTCTGAAGTACTTCAGAGCAGCAATTGGAAAGCTGCCATGCAGAGTGAGTATGATGCACTTATAGCTAATAACACTTAGACACTTGTTGATCCTACTTCTGACATGAACATAGTGGGAAACAAATGGTTTTTCACCAAATTTAATGCTGATGGAATCCTACAGAAATATAAGGCCCGGTTAGTTGCAAAGGGTTTTCAGCAAACTCTCAGTCTTGATTATTTTGAGACTTTTAGTCCTTTCATTAAGCCAGCTAATATACGTATTGTTCTCACTCTAGCTGTGACAGATGGATGGGATATTCAACAGATAGATGTTAACAATGCATTTCTCAATGGAGTTTTAACTGAAACAGTCTTCATGAAGCAGCCACCTGGTTTTGAGAGTTTTGTTTTTCCTAATGCAGTTTGCAAGCTAAACAAAGCACTTTATGGTCTCAAGCAGGCTCTAAGAGCTTGGTTTGATCGATTGAAGGCTTTTTTACAACTTAAAGGCATTCAAAACTCAATATCAGATTCAAGTTTGTTTATCCTAAAGCAAGACACTGGTTCTATTTATGTTTTAGTATATGTCGATGACATACTGATCACAGGTTCTGATAAGATCTTTATTAAGCAGTTGATGAAAGATCTCAATGATAATTTTGCCTTAAAGACACTTGGCTCACTCAAATATTTTCTGGGCTTGGAAGCAACAAGAGATTCAGCAGGTATTCACTTAAAACAGTCTAAGTATGCTTCAGATTTGTTAGTTCGAACCAAAATGATGGAGGCACATGCATGCTCAACTCCAATGACTGTTGGTATCAAACTTAGCTCAATTGACAGTGAGTTGTTTCAGAATCCCAGCGTGTACAAAAGTACTATAGGAGCACTACAATACTTAACTCTTACAAGACCAAATATCAACTACACTCTAAAAAAGTTAAGTTGGTTTTTACAAGCACCTACTGATTTTCAATGGCAAACCTGTACGAGGGTGATAAGGTCCATTAAAGATACTCTGGATTTTGGCCTATGTTCAAACCAGCAAGCACTCTTCATGTTGAGTGCTATGCTGATGCTGATTAGGGAGGAAGTACAGAGGATCGAAGATCTACTAGTGGCTTTTGTGTGTACTTAGGACCAAACTTAATTCAGTGGAGTTCTAGGAAACATAAAGTTGCTGCTTTTTCCTCCACTGAAGACGAATATAAAGCCCTTGTTCACACAGCCACAGAGATAGCCTGGCTTGAAAATATGTTTACTGAGCTTGGTCTAACCTTTCACACTATACCAGTAATCTGGTGTGATAATGTTAGTGCTGGTGCTCTTGCATCTAATCCTGTATTTCATGCTTGAACCAAACATATTGAGATTGATGCTCATTATGTTCGAGAACAAGTCCTAGCAAAAAAGCTAGCCATCCAATATGTGCCCTCCAAGCTACAAATTGCGGATCTTCTTACAAAAGCACTCTCAGTTTCTCAGTTTACTGAGTTAAGAGCCAAACTGAATGTGGTGTCATTAGGAAATGTTAGTTGATCTGGAGTGTTATCTCTGATTGTTCTGTTCTGATGATTGGTCTGAATTATTGATCTGCAGTGCTTGTTCTGGAGTGTTATCCCTGATTGTTCTGGAGTTCTGATGATTGGTGTGGGTTATTGATCTGCAGTGCTTGTTCTGGAGTTATTTCTGGTTTTTCTGTTTTTTTTTTTTTTTTTTTTTTTTTTGGTGTTCTTTGAAGAATCTAATAATAGATTATGTTGGTGCTCTTTGAAGGTTCTGATCAGATTTTTTTTTAGTTGGTGGATATGTTCTGGTATTACTGGTGGATGTGTTCTGGTATTGAAGATCAGATGTTTTTTTTCCAGTTCAGTTGATTGATGTTGGTTCAATCCAAACATTTGGTTTGTCTTGCAGTTTTGTTATTGCAGACTTGATACAGATTTGAAGTTGAAGTTTCTTGTGTTGTTCTGCTTCTGCAGTTTTGAAGTTTCAGATTTGAAGTTTTCTTTACTGAGAAAATGCAGTTCAGCTATTTGGTTCTTTACTGAGAAAATGCAGATTTGAAGTTGAAGTTTCTTGTGTTGTTCTGCTTCTGCAGATTTGAAGTTTCAGATTTGAAGTCTTCTTTAGTGAGAAAATGCAGCTCAGCTATTTGGTTCTTTAGTGAGAAAATGCAGTCCAGCCGTTTGGTTCAATGCAGTTAGTTCTTTAGTTTGAACAATGGGATGAATTAAATGTAGCTGAGTTAAATTGCGTGATGATCAAATGCAGCTGAGCTAAGTTGCACTTTTCAGCAACTTATGCAGTCCATTTTTCCAGCAGCTTGTGCAGTCCAGTTTGAGGGGCAATGTTGGACAAATGTCAAAGTGCAAAGTCATTGAAGGAAATGCTGCCGTTTTAGCTCAAATAATAAACATTCAAAACACTGTCGTTTAGAGTACTAAAGTCTACTGAATTACGAAATTGTATATGTAAAACAGTTGCTCACTCTTCTTTGTTATTAAAGAAAAAGTGAAGTAAAAGGAATGTGTGTTTTCCTCAGTTCTTACTCTCTCTTTCTCTGTTTACAGTACTCTGTTCTTCAGTTGTAATCTCACACTGAGCTGGCAGAACAAATAACTCATGCTTTGAACAGGCCTATCCGTAAAGGCTTACCAAGGTTAGAGACAAGACATTCCGTTGAGATCTACTCAAAAGATATTAATCCACAGATTAAAACACTACTAAAGTTTGCAAAATTAGATTTTAACATGTTACAGCTACAATATCAGAAAGAGGTTAGTAGCATCGCCAGGCAAGTTCAACTTCTTAAACTATTGCAAGCTCACAAAATAGTTTCTTCGATCTTATTAAATCTTAAGGATTATTAATAATGAGATATACTTGCATCCCAGGTGGTGGAAAGGTTTAGATGTTGAAACAAATTTGCCATATGATAGAGATAGAGTGGTAGAACTATATTTCTGGATAGTGGGAGTGTACTTTGAGCGCCAATACTCCTTAGCAAGAAGGATAATGACCAAAGTAATCTCTATGACGTCCATTTTAGATGATACTTACGATGCCTATGGAACCTATGAAGAACTTGAGCGGTTTACTGATGCTATCAAAAGGTCAATTTTAGAAATATTAACTACACTCTTTTAATCAGGACTAGAATTTCCTTTTCTTATAATTCATCACTTGATTTTCAGGTGGGATACGAGCACTGTAGATGTACTTCCAGAGTACATGAAACTGATTTATCAAGCACTTTTAGACGTTTACAGTGAAGCGGAGGAGGAGATTTCGAAGGAAAGGAGATCATTTTGTATGGACTGTGCAATAGAAGAGGCCAGCCATTTCTATATTTAATCACTTTAATTTATACATATAAGCAGACTTCACTTTAATTAATACACTGGAGGAGTATTTGCAGATTTCACTTGTTACCACTCCATTTAAAATGCTGGCAATTGCTTCTTTCCTCGGCATGGGACAGATGGCTAACAAATCGGCCTTCGATTGGATCGCCAATGACCCTAAAATTGTTACAGCTTCAACAATTATAAGCAGACTCATGGATGATATAGTGTCCCATGAGGTGCAATTAATGCTGAATATTTTACATCCTTCAGCCCCATAATGATAAATAGTACACCACTTGAAAAAAAAAGATCTTAATTACAAAATTTCTTATTCAAATATTATGCATATCTAAATTTGCAGTTTGAGCAAAAGAGAGAACATGTTGCCTCAGCAGTGGAGTGCTACATGAAACAGCATGGCGTTACTGAGGAAGAAGTAAGAAAATTGTTCCGAAAAGAAATTTCAAATGCATGGAAAGATATAAATCAAGAGTTCCTTAAACCAACAGCAGTTCCAGTTCCCCTCCTTGGGCGTATTCTCAATCTTTCACGGTCTATGGATGTTATACACAAGGAGGAAGATACCTACACTAATTCTTACAAGCTGAAAGACGACGTCGCTTCCGTACTTGTGAACCCAGTTCCCCTATGAGCAGCTCTCCCTGCTCCAGCCTCCATACTCATCCTGCTACTGTGCTACTAATTAAAGTTCAAGTTTTTATTCTGCCAATTAAAACACTTTATGAATAAACTTTTCTTCGGTCTCATCCTCACTCCCCATAGTGTTGGCAAATGGATCAGTTAAGTTAAAAACCCAATTCAACCGGTAAGTAATTTAGCTTAACCCAATTTTGAAGTTTGGAAGTTGTAGATTGGGTTAAATGGTTTAGCATCGTTACATTCTTCATTTTTTTTTTTTTTTTAAATATAAAATTTCGTATATACTAGATTAAAAATGCACATAATATTCATTGTCTATAAATTAAAGGCCCTAAATAAATTTTAATGAAAATATAATTGTACTAAAATTATTCCATATATAAAACAGAAAAACCATACTGTATATACAAAATTATCAAAAAGAATTATTCATATAAAAAAAAAAAGAATTTTACAAGTTTTTCAAGCTTTTGAAACTTTTAAACATCCTGAAATTCCAATATTAGAATCTATTTATTTAATTTAATTATAGGGGTTTGATCTAGACCCTGTGAGATTTAATTAAATAACAAATTTCTCTCTAAAATTTTAAAAATAACATTAATTCCCTTACTATTAGTATACCATTAAAATTTATAATATGATAGGTTAATGAAGATTTATCTGATTGGCCATTTTCCATTTATTTTATCACAAGAGGAGGATTTTTTTTATTTAATTATACCTAAAAGACATTATTTGTTATTAACCCTTAATTATTGTGTTTCCTTTATTACTAAATAAATTTCTTGAAAATTTTAAGAAACTATTTTAAAACTCTTTACCTTTGGTTGTACCACCTTTGTCTAATACTTTTAGTTTAAACAAACCATTTCAAAAATTGACAACGATGAAATACCTAATCCTTAGGCTTTGAAAGTCCAATGATCTACGAGTAAGCCCTTTCTTAACTAATTAAGCTTGTTAATATTATAGTTAAAAAAAGAGGTTCTCATGTTGTAAAATTTATGTAACCAATATTAAAATAAATGGACTAAAATTAAAAATGAAGAATAATGGGACTAGAATTCTATTTTCCTTCTCTTTTAGATGTCTCTGGAATCAGTACAACAAACTGGAAGAAGGGATGGAGGGCCGCACACCATAGCAATAGAATGGCATGCAACAGTGTTAGAAGAAGGCAAGAGAGGCAACTAAGTAGCTGAAGTATGCCAAAAAGAGAAAGAGAAAGAAAGTCTTTTAGCTTATGAATTGTATTTTTCACTTGTGTATTTCTCTGTACAGAAGTTGTCAATTTATACAAGAATTATGTACTATGTAAGGAAAGAACTAATTACACAATCATAGGATTAATTGTAGGATCACATCAATCAAGGAGAAGATTGTGTGATCTATCTTTTCTAATTGTTCTTGTAATTGAGCTAAACATTTATTCACATATCAACATTCCCCCTCAAGTTGGAGGTTCATATATGTCATTAACTCCGAGCTTGTTCTAAAGATATGAATGTTGTTTGTGACTTAGAGGTTTTGTGAAGATGTCAGCTGGCTGATCTATGGTTTGAATGTACTTAGTCTTGATCATCCCTTCTTGTATTTTGTCTCTGATAAAGTAGCAGTCAATTTCTATGTGTTTTGTTCTCATTTGCTGCTTAATTCAACCGGTCTTTCTATCTGAATATCTAGATCTTTTAACAACCCAAGAATCTAGGTGATCTTGCATATGGTTTTGGTCATTACTCTATATTCGGCTTCTGCTAATGAAAGAGAGACCGTTGATTGTTTTTTTGTCCTCCATGAGATCAACGATCCCTCGAGTTTGATGCAGAAACCAGTGAGGGATCTTCTTATCATAGGGCATGATCGCCAATCTAAATCACAATATGCCTCTAGACTCAAGTTTTCCCCTCGAGGCAAGAGAAGTCCTAGCCATGGGCATCCTTTCAAGTATTTGAGGACTTTAATTGCTGCTTTCATATGTGATTGTTTTGATGCATGCATAAACTGGCTGAGAATCTGGACTTCATAACAGATATCTAGTCGTGTCATCGTCAAGTAAATGAGACAATCAACCAGACGTTAATAACTAGAACTATCTTCAAGTAGTGGGTCTGTTTTTGAATCTTAAGCGATAAGCTTCATGTTTTGTTTCACGGGAATAATACTTGGTCTACAAGCTGATAACACTGAAACTGAGATTAGTTCTAGTATGTATTTATGTTGACTGAGAGATGTTCCTACTGAGGATCTTGCAATTTCCATGCCCATAAAATATTTTGGTGCTCCCAGATCCTTGATGTGAAACGACTTGTGCAATTGCTCTTTTAATGCCTTGGTGGCAATTTCATCATTTCTTGTGATAAGAATATCATTGACATGTATTATAAGACTAATGAAAGATTTATCTTGATGTCAAGTGAAAAGAGCATAGTCATGTTTAGACTGTATGAAGCCTATGGTAGTAAAAGCCTCTGTAAATTGGGTCTTGAGGATTGGGCTGTGAGCCTGGTTGACCAGTTGGGCCTTGAGAATTGGGCCATGGGCCTGGTGGCTATGTGGTCAATTAAGGAGTGGGTTGTAGGCCTGTTTGAGTGGGTTATGTGATTTGCGGCTCTGGTTGAATGGGTTGTGTGTTTCATTGGTTGTTTGGCTAATTGGGATTCATTTTGGTTGTTTGTTGGTTTTGACTAATTGTTGTGGGTTTGCACTAATCCAACTGCCTTTTGTAGGTGAAGCAACCTGGAGGCTTGAGAGGATGTAGGCAAGAAGAAGAGAACAAAAACTTGAAATGCAAAGAAGATGTGAACAAGAAGAAGAGAGGCAGAAGGTTGATTAAGCAACCATCTCTGATACTATGTCAGAAGAAGACAAGAGAGGCAACCAAGTAGCCGAAGTATGCGAAAAACAGAAAGAGAAAGAAACCCTTTTAGCTTATGAATTGTATTTTTCACTTGTGTATTTCTCTATACAGAAGTTGTCAATTTATACAAGAATTATGTCCTATGTAAAGAAGGAACTAATTACACAATCATATGACACATCAATCAAGGAGAAGATTGCTTGATCTGTCTTTTGTAACTGTTCATGTAATTGAGCTAAACCTTTATTCACATATCAACGATTAGAATGCAGGTGTCAGAGTAGTGGAGATCCACAAGAACTAAAAATTAAGAACCGTGTTGCAAACAATGATCTTCAAACATTTTTATTTTATTGCAGGATAATGAGTTTTTGAATGAAAAATGAGTTTGTTGATGATTCCATAGCCACTTCACCATGTTTCTCTTCAAAAATATTCCAGCCTTAGACTATTTGTAAAAGTAGTTCAATTTTTTATATTCTGATAGTTCCAAATTTTCTGAATATTATAAGTCTTGAGTAATCAGTATCCTACTCCTCATTATTGGAGTTCACAGTTCACATCCTTCGAAGCTTCATCGTTTTCTTTATTACAGTACTTGGCAGTGGAAGAATCTTTTTTATTTGGGCTAGTTAAAATGCCTTTATTTTAAAATTCTCGTTCTTTAGAATGATAGGATCAACTGTTGGGCTGCTACTAGTCAGGTTTCCTTATGATAAATTTTCTCACAACCTTTAATTACAAATCTTGAAGGTTTTAATTGATAGGACACGATTGTACAATTCGTATTAAGTTAAAATTTCCCAGTTTTTAAAATTAAATATTAGTTAAAAAACAGAACATTTTTTGGTTAATTGGCATTATTTGTCGAAGTATAGGTTTTCCAGATGGTTATATATTAAATCATTAGTGACTAACTGGTGACCACAAAATGGGTTGGTTGATGATTATAGATTAAATTATTTAACCACCTCGTGTTAAGAATGATTTTCATAGTTTTTGTTAGCATAGTGAATTATTGACTAGAAAATGGGTTTCCTCGTGCTCTATTTAATTAAATAATCAAGGGTATTACACTTAATTACATAAATATCATTGCTTCTCCATTCAAGATTGAAATGTAGAATATTATATTTTTTGGTTAATTTTTTTAGAGAATTTAGTGTTTAAAGATGTATTAAATGCTCGAAAATATGTTTAATATTACTGTTATTATTATTAAAAGTTGTGTTAATTCAAATTGGGTTGAAAATTCATTTTTCCAAAAAAATTGATGAAGAAACTGAAAATTTTGAATAAACTCGAGTCACTCGAGCTAGTCACTTAAGTCACTTGAGTACAATCACTCGACTAGGGTATATAATATTAATCTAACTTAAGTTAACTATTTTGATATTTTATGTGTTATATCAACATTTTTCATATAATCTTTAACGTAACATATCAGTATTACCTATATAAAATATAAAAGATCCACTCAAGCAGGGTTAGTATCATTATACCCCACTCGACTAAACTCAAGCGACTTGAGATTTTACAATTTTTATGGAAATCATTTATTCCGATTCAAGTTTCAAGAAGTGAAATTTTTTTTTTTTTTTCCCTTAAATATACAATATTTTACTTATATTAAATACATAGGAACATAACATACACCCCTAAGCATATACAAATAATAGTAAGTCTAAAAACATCAAGGAGAATAAAGAAGAGAAAAAGGAGAAAAGAGGTGAAAGAAAGCGAAGTGAATTGAAAGAGGAGTAAAATCACCCATAATTTATCTCAAAGGTCTTATTTACAAAGACAATTAGAGATGTATTATTTTTTAATTTGACTCTTAAAATAGTCATATAAATTGTAATTATTTTTTCAAGTGAATATACAGATTAATATATCTAAAATAAAACTAATGATTAAAACTTTCATACCATAAACACAGCATGTCATGTTAACTTAAACGTGGGAGATCGTTTTATGAAATTTTCTTAATTCTAATTATATAATTTAAACCTAAAATCCATTGTATTTTAAAGAACTAGCTTACTCTTGGCCACCGAGGCCTATAGGTGGCCAAAGGGAAAAAGATTTAAATGAAAAACATGTTTCTTACTATTCTCTGCTACGTCTATATA